GGCTGCTTCAAACTTTGATCCTCCAGATCTCAGCCTCCTCAGCAGCTAGGATTACAGGTGAGCCATCGACCCCCAGGCCCGGCTTGTATTTGTGAATAAAGGTCTCACAGACCTGGTTATGTATGTCTGCCTTGGGTTTATACAACTCTTATTCACTACGCTCTCTAATTCAAATGCCTTTGTTGGTTTCTTTTTTTTTTTTTTTTGTGAGTCGTGAGGCTTGAACTCTGGGCCTGGGCGCTGTCCCGAGCTCTTCAGTTCAAAGGCTACCACTCTACCACCTGAACCACGGCACCACTTTTGGTTTTCTGAATGATTTATTGGAAATAGGAGTCTCATGGACTTTCCTGGCCAGGATGGCTTTGAACCTCGGATCCTCAGATTGCAGCCTTCTGAGTAGCCAGGATAATAGGCGTGAGCCACTGGCGCCTGGCTTACTTTGTTGGTTTTCTTTTGTGCAGGTAGTGGGGCTTGAACTCAGGGCCTCATGCTCTTGCCCAGCTTTTATGCTCTAGGCTGGTACTTTATACCGCTTGAACCACATCACTACTTCTAGCTGTTTTTTTGTTTTTGTTTTTTACTAGTCCTGGGGCTTGAACTCAGGGCCTAGGCATTGTCTCTGAGCCTCTCTGTGCTCAAGGCTAGCATTCTACCACTTGAGCCACAGTGCCACTTCTGGCTTTTTCTGTTTATGTGATACTGATAATTTGAACCCAGGGCTTCATGCAAGCACTCTACCACTAAGCCATGTTCTCAGCCCTACTTCTAGCTTTTTTTGCTTAACTGGAGATAAAAAGGGTCTCATTCTCACAGATTTTTCTGCACAGACTGATTTCAAACCAAAATTCTCAGTTCTCAAGTCTCCTGAGTAGCTAGGAGTATAGGAATAAGCCAAAGACTCTAAGCTTCAGATGATTTTGATACTTTATGGTTGGATTTTTCTTTTAATCTTCAAGATAACCCTTGAGTATCCCTTTTGACACCAATGAGAAACTACAGCTTAACATAGAGAAATAGAATAACAAGGCAACAACTACAAAATTACAGAGCAAATTTACAAACTTTTTTTTTTGTCAGTCGTGGGGCCTGAACTATGGGCCTGAGCCCTGTCTCTCAGCTCTTCAGCTCAAGGCTAGTGCTCTACCATTTGAGCCACAGCGCCACTTTCGGGTTTTTGCTTATGTGGTGCTAAGGAATCGAACCCAGGACCTTATCCATGCAAAGCAAGTAATCTACCACTAAGCCACCTTCCCAGCCCCAAAAACTTTTCCAATAATATATCCTTCCAAGATCTTATATACAGACTCTCAGCCCCATACAGTTGACCACCCATATCCATATTCAAGCATCGAACCAAAGATAAAAAAGTCTCTATATTAAACTTTTTTGTAATTTCCTAAACAACACAGTGTAACTAGTACTTAGCCTTTACAGTGTATATGTAAGCAGGTCCAGAAACAATCCAAAGACTAAAGGTATATATACGTAAATTACATGTAAATAAGACCACATTTTAAGAGACTTGAGTACCTGTGGATTTCTTCCTGGGTCCTAGGGCCAATCTCTCACAGATACTAACGGAGGAGTGTACAGGTACTTTCACCTGCCAATCACAACATACTAGGGGCTTGTCAAATCAATGTACGGTATCATGACTAGCATTTCATAAAATTTCAGTACAGAACAGGAAATTATTGCAAAGCATATAGAGAATGCAAACATTTTGTGAAATTTGCTTTATGTACTAGGTAATAATATAAAGCATATTTCTTATTGTAATGTAACAAAAATACTTAAAAATTATTAACCTCTTTATTGCCTCCCTAAAAATAAATAACCAAGTTAATCTAAGGGGTTTTGTTATCTTCTACAGAAAAGTAAAAGCAGTTCTCAGAAACTACTTTTAAGCCAGGCACTGGTGGCTCACACCTGTAATCCTAGCTACTCAGGAGGCTGAGATCTGAGGATCGCAGTTCAAAGCCAGCCCAGGCAGGAGAGACTGTGAGACTCCTATCTCCAATAAACCACTAGAAAACTGGAAGTGGCGCTGTAGCTCAAGTGGTAGAGCACTGGCCTTGAGCTGAAGAGCTAAGGGACAGCACCCAGGCCCAGAATTCAAGCCCCACAACTAACAAAAGAAAAAAAAACTACTTTTATACAGGCAAAGCAGGCAGACCACCTGGCCATCCATGGAAAAGTCAGGTACTATTCCTGGTGAGAACAGACCTGAGAGCTCTTCTCATTAACAGGAGACACATATCAAAGACCAGAAATGATCAAAATATATCTAAGGTTTTAAAAGCCAATCCTCTCCTGTCCACTCCACCACTCCCTGGTAGTACTGGGATTTGAACTCAGGGACCTGCAGGTGCTCTACCAACTGACCCATGCCTGCAACCCTGGAAACTGATAACTTTTTTTTTTTTTTTGCAGTCATAGGGCTTGAACTCTGGGCCTAAACACTGTCCCTCAGCTCTTCAGCTCAAGGTTAACGCTCTACCACTTGAACCACAGAGCCACTTCCTGATCACTATTTAAAAGCATGGAAAAGGGAAGCACACCTGTAGTCCCAACACTTCAGAGGATTTCCACTGCAAAGCCACCATGTACTACATATATAGCAAAGCCTTGTCTGGAAAAAGAAAAGCCTTAACATGTAACAGCATTCAAGTAAGCCATTATTCAGGCTTTCCTTTGGAACACTTGTCCAGCAACTAAAGTGAGTTGCACAGAATAAAGTTAAACAGAGAAGTAAGCAAAAGTCAAAGGAATGTACAGATGCATCCTACAGTCAGGAAAACTGTCCAACTTTTTTGGGGGTGTGGGAAGACAGAGTATAACTGGGATTACAGCATTCCTACCTGGAAACGACTTTAAAATAGAAAAACATGTTTCCTTCCTTTCAAAATTAAAGTCCTACTGGACTGCCAGGACTAAATTCTGCATCTCATCCCAGAAATTCTGTATAAATCTCCTGTGCAATGATGATGGCTTTCCCCAGTGCTTATGAAAATCAATTCTGATAGCTAGAAAGCACAGGGTAAACAGACTCCTCCGGCACCTAAGTGGTGGAATTGTCTGCAAGTGCTAACCTAGGTATAGCATTGGGGATGACATTTGCTGGACACCCCTCCCCCCACACACACACACAACCATTCAACTTTTCAGACGTCCTATCCCACCTCTGCTGCTGGTTGTCAGGAGAATCTGAAAGGTTTAACTTCGCAGAAAGTGTTAACAATCAACTTTTAAAGGTCAAAGGGGACCAGTTTTTAACCTTCCCTCAACACGTGTTCAGCACAAACTTCCGGGTGCGGTTACAATTGGCTGCGCAATTCAATGGATAAAAACGTTGCTCTGACTCCCCATTTTCTTGCCTGTTCTTTCCCACGTTTCTCAACCAGCGCCTCCAAAAAACAAAAGCCTCCCACAGTCCACGGGGCACGCACATAAAAAGAGCTTCTCCGGGAGAGGATCAAGTTAGTGGTCCGCAAACATTAACTACACACGAGCACAAAGCCCGGGTGGAAAGGGGAGGAGCTGGCTGCCGGGGTCAGGAAAGAAACAATCCCCGGGTTCGGCAACATCCGAATCTCTCCGGCGGTTAAACCCACCCCCGGCCACTCCGGGGACCCCGCCGGCCGACGCTGCCGGGGCAGCTCGGGTGCTCGGGGCTCCGACACTTGGAAAGTAATAAGCAAACGCCCAACCGCCATTCCCCAGGACGCACAGCCACCGAGGGCTGGGGAGGCGAGCTCGCCGGCTCGCGGCGAGACTAAGCGGCCGCCCGGCGAGGCGTGGAGTTCCCACGTGCCCTTCCCCACCCGCCCGGGAGCCGGGTCCGGGGGACCCCGCCGGCGAGCGCTGCGGACGCGCGAGGGGCGGCCCTGCCGCGCCCGCCGCCTCCCTCGCCCCAGCCCGCAGCACTGGTCCCGCAGCAGCGCTCGACAGGGATCCCCGCCTCACTTTCCGGCCGGTTCCGGACCTCACGGCCCCGGGTCGTGGGGGGAGAAGGAAGCAAAAGGGGGCGCCCCGGGGGTGCCGGCGTGCGCGGACCCAGCCTCCCCGCTCCCCCGCTCCCGGGGCGCCTCCGGTTCCGGACAGCGGGGCTCCCCGAAGCGGGGAGCGA